GTGGGGATTCTTCTCATACCCATTTTGGACTCTTCTGAGCTATTTCCTGCCTGTCCATGAGTTTGTCAGGATTGAGAAATATTCATGTGTTTTGTTTTTGTACTGGGATTTTTTTTCCCTCCCTGTTTGTGATAACTACTATTTTTTGGCCCGTGCTGTTAGAGCGAAGTTTTCCTTTTTTTAGGGTATTTTTAAAAGTAGTGTCTGTTTTCTGATCGTGTCTATCCCTGCCCTGCTTTAAACACACGCAGGTATGTATACCCATTTGCTTTGTCCTATTTTATAAAAATATAAATACTGGGTCCACTCTGACCATTGTAGATGGAAGCATATTTTTTAAAAGGGAACATTTAGACTTTCAAACGAGAGCCAGCTGCTTGTTTTCAAGCAGGAAGGCAGGGCGTGCTTTGCAGCTCTAGTAGTGGCTGGCTTTGGCCAGTTCCTGTGTGTAAACAGCAATTTTCTAAGCTGGCATGGGTGCTGGGTTTTTCTTTGTGGAGCCAAGGGATGTGTGGAGAGCAGTGGTCTCAAGTTAAATTATGGGCACAGATGCGTAGCTCCAGAGCAAGTGATTCACAAATTGACCACACGTCAATGCCTTGGTTGCATTCAGCCTACGTGTCACTTCCCAGGGTGACACCCTGAGCCATCACCCATCTGCTGGGAGGGGATGTCTCAAATGGTACAGGTCCCAGGGATGAGGATCTCATGTTTCTGGCATTGGGAGACACCTGCCCAAAAGGTTCTGCTAGCCTGCTGTCCAAAAGGTCTCATGAAAGAGATGGAAGCTCAATCACTGACTGCTTTGGTCTGAACTCTCAATCAAAGATGTGTGATGATTCTTTCCATTTCTGGTCATAGTGGGACTATTTAAATTTTGGGGGCATAGTAGCCAGCTTCTCTGTTCTGCAGGGGGTTGAACCCTCACTTGTGCAATAGCTTTAGGATAGGAAGCTGTTACCCAGAGAACCTAGCTCAGATAGGACTACCAGGGTACTGGGGCAAGTACACTCTTTCCAAGACCAGAAGGTTAAAGAACTTCCTAATGTTGCATGGGCCACATAGAAGCCAAGACTGAATGGTGGGACTGGAGTTACCTGAACACACACGCACATGTGTGCCTTCAGATGCACACTTGTGCTCCTGTGAACCCACAAACTTTGCCTGGTGCTGGTGAGAAATTGATGCACTCGATTTTGTTCTGCCAAGAGACTGCATGCCCTGCCGTGTCCCTTCCCACCTCCTCCAGCCGTGAGATGGAAGGGAGGAGGAGAGAAGAATGTGATGCCAGGGTCCTCTTCCTTTTGTGGTCCTCACTAGAATGCACACCCTCCAGCAGTGTACAGTCCTGTTGGCCGAAGGAAACCCACCCCCTCAATCCATACACCTCTGGTGAGAGGAATACTGTGCACAGCCCTCTGCACCCTCAGACAGGCCCCACTCTGCAGAAGCAGAGATGTGGGTGAGCAGTGTTGCCTCCTGTCTATGGGCTTGTGGCATGTGGAAGGCTCTGACGAAGCCAGGTGCCTTGCAGTGTGTGTGGAAGTGCAGGCTACAGCACTGCACTCCCCCGCCGCCCCAAGATTGTTGTAACTCAGACACTTTGGTGCATGGTCTGGGGCCTGGGATTTTTCATCCTGCTTGAAAAAAAAGTGTTTTAAAGGCTGTTGTGGGACTGTGTAGATTTATGGCTGGGTGTCTGCATCTGTGTTTAGGGCTCTGTCTGGACATGTTTATGACTACGAAGCAATAGTAGAAGGTGTTAGGAAGTGCCCTTTTTGTTTAGCCAGTTACTGAGGAGCAAAGTCAACATGCTGTTGACTTGTGTTACTGGGAGTGAAGAGGCTGTGGGCGTTGACTTCTCGGGGGTGCCCGAGAGCGGGAGTGACTGGCACAGAGCAAAGGGCTGCGCTGTACCTGCCTACCTCTGAAGAGCGCATACATGAGACTGGGCTGTTCTTTTCTTCAAATGCCTCTCTGGAATTTCTTTGAATTGACAGTTCCACTAGTGCATGTTTGTGTTTCTTTACAGATATTTCATTACTTGGCTGGGGGTGGAAAATAAAAAAAGGAATAAAAAAATCTACGATGAATCTGGTGGGAGTCTTTGTACGTCTGAAATCAGAGGGATGCAGCAAAGTTGTGGTGCAATAGGAGTTTATCTTAACTTTTTTGTAGAATGGCTTTCTGTTGCATGTTCATTCTGAACTTAAAGAATGAATTTAGGAACTGACTTTGGATTCCGTTACAGGACCGTTTATTTAGTGTCTACACAGTCCTCTGCTAGACACTTTGACATATGCCATTTAATTTATTCCTAATAGGAGATTTGTATGTTAGGCTAATTGTTACATCTCCATTTTATAGCAGATTAAATTTCACATTCTATTAGAATGCAAGCCCCAGCACCTAACACTTAATGTGTCTGTTGAGTGAATACATTAGGAAGGTTAGATGAATAGCATTTGGCAATTAATGAGTGTTGGGAAAGGTTTAGCTGTAGAGAGGGCTTGATGGAGTTTCACCATTCAGGTGACTGTGATCTACCAAGGAGATGCCAGGAGTGGAAGCAGAAGCAGGAGTGAGATGCCCCCCAGTTAATGAGAGGTCCTTAGCATTTTGGGAATGTGGACACTGGTAGGATCTTCAAAGAATGTCCTTGTGTGTAATGTTTAATCCCTCATCATCTGGAAAAAGGTGGAGAAAAGGAGATCACAGCTTTAAACACAAGAGCAAATCAATGCATGGCTCTTGAAAGCAACAGGCGGACAGTGACAGGCAGTGTTCAGTGTCCAGGCCAGTGTCCTCTCAGAGTGAGGCAGGAAGACTGTTGTGGGGATGTTCCAGTTTGGGGTCGGCCAGCAGGCTCAAGAGACATATAGCCCTGCTGGGCACTGCCAGGCTCAAGTGTGAGCTTCTAGAAGCCCCTTTCCACCACACTGTGGGTTTCACCTGAGAACTTGGCATCAGGTGAGCCCATGGAGCCCTGGCCCAGCCCCTGCAGTGCACAGGAGATGAAGAACTAAGGAGACAAGTCCTTGTCCGGGGTCACACTCAGAGTTAGACACAGACACCAGGCATCTGGCACTTTTCGAACTCCTGCTGGTCACCTCTGCTGCCCTGGTGTCACTCACCTAAGGCTGTGTTGTTAGGGGTGAGTTGGTTTGGCTCATTCACTGACATGGGAAATGTGTCAGAGGCTCAGTCAGGAAGTAATCCAGGCATTCTGCATTGGTTCATCATAGACAGGTGTTGTATTGTGTGTTTATTCTCTCCAGACAAACTGGTGACACCCTACACACACTGAATGTTTCAAGGTTTTACTTCTGCATTGAAACAAAAATACTCTGACCTATCACTTGAACTCAATCTCCAGAATGAAGTTTAATTTCCTTAATTAGTTTCTTCCTTGTAAGATTTTTTATTCTTTTTTTTTTTTGAACAGTGTTTTTTTTTTAAATTTGTTTATTTTAGTTAGAAAGTCAGATGTACAGAGAGGAGGAGAGAGAGGAAGATCTTCCTTGCACTAATTTACTCCCCAAGTGGCTGCAACGGCTGGATCTCAGTTGATCTGAAGCCAGGAGCTTCTTCTGGGTCTCTCATGCAGGTGCAGGGTCCTAAGGCTGTGGGCCGTCCTCGACTGCTTTCCCAGGCTACAAGCAGGGAGCTGGATGGGAAGTAGGACTGCTGGGTTATGAACCAGAGCCCATATGGGATCCTGATACATGCAAGGCAAAGACTTTAGCTGCTAGGGTACCATGCCGGGCCTAAACAGTATATATATTTTTAAGATTCCTTTTTTTTTTCTCCTAAAGATATTTGATAGGCAAAGTGACAGAGGGATGGAAGAAGAGGGAGAAAGATAACTTTCATCTGCTGGTTCAGAGGCACAAGTAGGCACAGCTGTTGGGGCTGGACCAGGCCATAACCAGGAGTTCAACTTGGGGTTCAGCCTGCAGTTCCTTGTGAGTGTCAGGGATCGAATTCTTAGGTCTGCTCTTCCCTTCCCAGGCCCATTAGCAGGGAGCTGGGTTGGAACTGGAGCAGCCAGGAATCAAGCCAGCTCTCCCACGTGAGATCCTGGCATTGTAGCAGTGGCTTCACCCGTGCTACAACGCCAGCCTTGAATAATTTGTATGATTCAGTTTTCTTCTCCTTTTGCTCTGAAACTTTTGGTGGGGTGAGGAGGATCTGAAATGGATCTACATTTGCTTACTGTGGCATGTGTCACATGCTCAGGGTGGGCTTCAGCATCTCTTACCCTGTGCTTAGGGTTGGGGAGAGAGAACATGGAAGTCAGGAGCTGAGCATCAGGAGCAGGGAGTGTGAAGAGGAGGACAAGGGCGGACGGGGGCTTTGATGCTGTGTTATGGATTTCGGAAGGGAACAACCAGCAACTCAGTATGCCAAGCTTTGGAAAAGGCTGTGGCACCGGAGAATGGCCATAGCGTGCTGTGGCGGGGGCGGGGGAGGGTGCTTTCCTCTAGGTGTGGAAACCTGGAGATTGGCTGGGCTTGTCTAGGGCATGATCTGGTGAGGTTGGAGGTGAGGGGGTGGACTTTGGGGTACAAGGTCGCCGTCCCTATCTGAAAACACTCTCCAGCTCCTGGAATAGACAATGCACATATGGCTGTGAAAGGACCTGAGCATCTTCAGAAGTTTGGTGGGTGCTTTCTACACAGCAGTTTTTTGGGGGATTGCTCTGTTTTGTTTGTGACTCTGAGTTGAGACTAGTTTGAAGGTCACTTTCTGCTGCTGCATTGTAGTGAAGTTGGCTCTTAGAGCTGTGAGGTCCTGAAGGTCCTCATGCTAATGGTGGTGTGGGACAGGTGAGCTGCTATCTCCAGCCTCTTTCAACATGCATAGGCCCAGCTCCGTGTAGCTTGAATGGGCTTGACCTTACCTAGAGAAGCATGGGGTGTGACTTGTTCCTATAGCTTAGCAACCATAACTGCAGATAACCTGGTTAACCTATGCCCTTCTCTTGTCATCTCTTACAGATGGTCACAAGAACAAAGAAGATATTTGTAGGCGGATTATCTGCAAACACAGTTGTGGAGGATGTCAAGCAATACTTTGAGCAGTTTGGGAAGGTAAGTGGTACGTGAGGTTGGTTTGCACAGACCAGAAGGACCCGTTCTGTCCTCCAACATGGCTACTGCTCTGGCCTCTGCCAACAAGTGTGTCCTTTAGAGCCTCATCCTTGAAGTTGGCCAACGTGATTTCAGTGAGACCCGGCAGGAATTGGGCTGGGAGAATCTGACTTGTGGTCGGCATGGTGCCCTGTGTGCCTGCAGCAACAGACAGAATGGCCTTTTAGCACAGTGCTGCTAACATTTGCCAGCCATGTGAGACCCGGGCTGGGAGCTGGCAAGGGCAAGCTTGGGAGGCAAGTGGGGCTATGACTCTCAAGGCGGGAGCTCCTATGTGAGCTGCTAGATGCCTGTGTGTTGGTACTGGGTTTCTGTGTCCTGTGACTTTCAGGAATTGCGGGGGGGGCGGATATTGGGGTCCCCTGGCAGCTAACACCTGCCTTCTCAGGTGCCCAAGGAGACTCCTGTGTCCATCAGTGTATCTGGCTCAAGGGTTTGTGAGATGACACTGAAATTATCCTTTAGGCTCTACCCCAACACCAGTCAGGAAATGGAGACAGAGAAGGTGTGTGTGACAGGCAAAAGTGGCCAGCGAGGGTGTGTGTGACGTGACAGGTGAATGGGTTCTCTTTGAGGGTGATATGGCCCTCTGATGGCCCAGGGAGCTGACTCATGCTGGGACTCCTCTGGTTCCTGGAAAATGGCAGATACAGATGCTAGCAGGTGAGTGCCTGAGCTACATCTTTGGGTAGGTACAGGGTGTTGTTGTGGGGGCTCAGGTATGAGCCTGTCCCCTTTGGCATAGGTTTCCATTTTACCCACTGAACAGCTGAAGTGACAGAGCAGCCCAGGCATCCTGAAAGGACACAGCCGCCTGCCCTCAGCTCCCTCACTCATTTTCTGACCCTACAACAATGGTTCTGCTTGTCATAGATGGTACTGCCCCCTGGTCAGCCCTTAAGGTTCTGTGCCTTCCATTTGTTTGCCTAGGGCATGGGCAGCTAGGCCATTTTGCCCAGGTGTGTCTATAAGCTAAGATCTGGGAAGATGGACATGATCTTTATTTAGCCTCAAAATGGAAATTTTCCTGTCTCTTGGTGTTCACGAGTTTCTGCATGGGTAGGAGACCATGCAATAAAGAGAAGCTAATGTCTTCTAGCTGGCCTGCACTTGGAGGTCACAGAGTAGCCCTTCCCCCATAGCCTTTACTGGCATTGCCAGGTCTGGCCTGATGCATTCTAGCAGATTCTGAAACACACCTCGCATGCTCTTGACCTCCCCTTCAAGACTGATTTAGAGTGGAAAGCTCCACCCTGCCTGGATAGAGTTGTTGGAAATAATAAGACTCGACAAGTCTAGCCCTCATGGTGAAAGCTATGCAGAGTGAGCCTGCCTGGCTCTTTCTGCCTCTAAAGCAAGACCAGGGGGTAGTGTTTGTAAGTCAGAGGTGAGAGGCGGAATTTCCTTCTGCTGGCTGTAACCTGCCCTGAAATCTTCAGAACCTACCCTGAAATCTTCAGGAAAGTTGATGGTGCCTAACTGGGCTGTTAGAATATTGGTGACAGGCTGATGCTTGCCAGCACACAGCATATCTCTGCATATCCCCCACTCTGGATTTCCCTCTCTTTCCCTCTTTTCGCTGTTGTTCTCCATCACTTCTCATCAGCACTTATGGTTGTGACCCAGGACACTTTCAGTGGGGCACTTCGGAAACTTGGGTCATACTCATAGTGGCCACCGTTCCTTCCCTGTGAGTGATTGGCCTTTTATACAGGAAATGGTCACAGACCATCTTCCTGGCATGGCACTTGCCCCTTCTTAGGCTGCCTGGTTGATTCTATCATGATGTTTGTGGATGCTGACAGCATGAGAAAACCCACTAAATGCTTTATGAAAGGACAGAGGAGACTTGAGGTGAGTTGGAACTCTGGCAGTCTGTGCCCACATGTGGGTATCTTGTTTCATCCATATGTTGCATGCATTATCTGGGCCTGTTTGCAGAATAGCCAGTTTCTTATTTGGCTGGCAGCTGGTGTCACATTTGTAGCCCAGTGGGCAGGGCCTACTCGGTGTTAGGATTCAGATGTAATTCATTAGAATCTAGAATGGGCAGAGTAGGGAAGCGCATGCAGCTGGACCTTCAGCCAAGAGTCAGTTCAGTAGCAGTGGGAGAACTGGACAGATATATGAACAACTCTCCCTTCCACAGTGTGTCTTCTGCTTTAGGAAAACCAAACATATGTAAGTGTGAAATATCCTTGTATGCACACACACACACACACAAATTTGCTTGAAATATACTCAAATACCTACTAACATGCAGTGTTTTACACACATGCCCGAAGTATGCTCACACAAACTTGAAATATACTAACAATGTGCACCCACAAAGTATGCTTATGCATGAGTATATTTACATAGGACATATATTAACCCATAAGAAGTATACTCATATGGATGATATATACTTGCATACACAGTATATTCAAATGAAATATGCTTACATACATGAAACATGAAATACACTGTTAAATGCAATGCATAAAATAGACTTGCAAAATACACTCATGGAGTATACCTATGAAGTAAACTCATACAAGTGTGATGTATTCTCACATGTGAGATATGTTCACATTCATGAAGTACACTCTCATGGACATCAAGTATACTTTCACGTACCTGATGTGTACTCGTGTGCATGACACATATCACACAAAAGGTACTCATATAAAGTAGATAGACATGTGCATAAAGTACCACTCATGTCCAGGGATTATGTTCATACACATGGAGTATACCAGTGCAGTCATGAAGTATACTCACACTTGCATAAAGCACAATCACAGATGCTCACATATGTGTACTATATGAGAAGTTGCTTGAGCTGCAGATTTCATATGTTGTGTTGGGTACTGGGACAGGCCGTTTACTTACATTGTGTTATTTAGTTTTTCTCTGGGAGGCAGTGTGGTTGCCCAGTATGAATTGTTAAATGGGGTCTATCTTTGACTCAGGGTCATAGCTCTAGCCTTGTCTGTAACAGAACCTGAACTTTGCATCCTATTAGTATTGACCACTGCTCAACCCTCAGGATGGATGCAGGCTAGTGAGGATATGAAAAGCAAGTAGAGATGGGGACCATCAGGTGCTCAGGGCCAGAGCTGGTGACCTGGACATACATCCCCATTTCTGCCAGCACAGCAGACACGGGAGGGTGTGAACATGGAAGTTCAGGGTGGTTAAGCCTTTCCTAGGGGTCATCCAGATGAGGCAGAGGTGAACACGAGCTCATCCCTTTCCTTCTCCTTTCTCCAGGTCTAGTAATTTCCACCCTTTCCTGGTTTCCCTGCATGGTGTGCTACTGTCCTCGGGTTTCCCTTGATGCCATCCCTCTCTTTCCATCCTGCCTAAATTGGCAGCGGCCTCTGTTGTTTATTCCAGAGGACAGTAAGGAGGGGGACGATGGCTATCATGACTAAGCCAGGAAAGCGCTACTATGTCATAACTGCAAGTGACCCTGAGAGCTTTATTTATTTGAAAGGCACAGTGACAAGACAAGACAGAGCAATCTTCTATCCGCTGGTTCGATTCCCTAAATGCCCACAACATCCATCCCTGGGCCAGGATGAAACCAGGGACCAAGGCATAGCATTCAGGTCCATTTTGGAGGTGGCAGCATGTCAGGCACATGGGTGATCCATCCACTGCTTTCCCAGATGCACAACAGGAACCTGGATCAGAAGTGGAGTAGAATAGCTGGGACTCAAAGCAGGCATTGGAATGTGGGATGTGGATGTTCCATATGACAGCTTAGCCCACTGTACCGCCAAGCCCGCCTCACACTGAAATTCCTAAATAACACAAGTTACTGGTATCCTCACTGCTTTTTGCTTAAGACAAAGTCATAAAGTGAGGCCATTGCTACAGAACTCCACTGAATAGGATAGGCATCCTCACCCCAGGGCCGCATCTGTGCTGTCTTTGGAGGAGAGAAAGTCAAAGGTGATCTAGATCCTTTTGCTGGACTAAGAGTGCAGTGGCACCTCATCCCCTATGCATTTTGACAAGTTCTTTTTCTGGCCTCAGTTACTCTTCAAAGGGAAGGGGTTGGAAAACTTGAAATATTTATTACTTTGCAAACCATATGGCATTTACTACTGGCGGGCAAAAGCTGCACAGCCAGCCTGTAAACAGATGGATCTGATTGTGTTTCAGTAAAATGTTATGGACGGAAAGAGGGATTGGGCCATATTTGGCCCACCAGGCAGACTAGTTGACCCCTGGACTGAATTACTCCGAAGGTCAACCTTAGGCTTGAGAAGTCAGGTAAGAAGCATTTAAGCACAGATAGATGATAATCCACGGTGTCTGTAGGCTGTACCCAAAGCCGTGCGTTCTCAGTAGTAGTGTGTGTGGCCTATAATCAGCAAGGCAGTCTTAACCATGTTCACGTTTATTTCTGGACTTTGTGATGTGGGAACAGCGAAAGGATTCTTTATTTGGAAAAGGCCACTATTTATAAGCTGGAGTTTTCATTCTATGAATAAGACCCAGAAAAACCTTACTGCATTTCCATCTTCCTGTTGCACATGCTGGATTAAAACCCATGAAACCCACAACTGTGAAGTTCAGACTTTGCTGTGAGCGTACTTCGTGTTGATGGAAGGAGTTGTGTGTCCTGGGGCTAGACACTTCACTGTGTTTTCAGTTGTGCTTCTCAGCTGTAGCATGTTACATAGGCAGCAGATCTTCTGGGTCTGTGATGACACACAACTGACGTTGAGGCAAACATTTTGACTGAGATCAGACAATCTGTGCTGGGCTGAGCCTGGAGGATAGGTCATTCCTCTGCACCTGCACCTTACCCCTTCCCTGTCTAAAACCCCGCCATGAAGCAAGCTCACCCTCTCACCTTGCCATGAAGCAGGCTCCTTCTCAGAGGGAACCAGTTCTGTTCATTTGTCAAAAGCATTGATATTCAGTCATCTATTTTGCTGCCT